TCAGCAGCTCCTCCTTCTGCTCAGCCGTGCCTACGTCGGCTGTGTACTAGGAGCAGCAGAGCAGCTCGGCTAGCGTAGCAGCATCTTCCTTTGTCCGCACGTACAAGATGATCTTGTCTCGAGCCCGATCCAAGAGCCGGCTATTTTCCCACGCGTCCCGAGCCCTCCACGCGCCCTCCTCTAAAAGAGTCCCTAGCCTAGTGGCCTGCTGTACTATATAGAAGAGGTTCCGCCGGTTCGTCGATGCCCGGATCACTTTAGGATTCACTAAGTTGTTCTGCTCTTCAAACGTGGCCTGTATTGTCGGTGGTAGAGTGGCTATCAAGTAAACAAACTATGTACGGATGTTGCGGATTAAGGTGAGGTCAACTATAGCCTAGCGATAGTCGGACGCTATAATAGTCAAGTGAGCCTCGTTAAACACAATGCGGCCGAGGTCTTGTGTAGCCGCGAGCTTGTGGGCATAAGTCCGAAACTGTTCCGTACATACTGCTTTAACTATAATAAATACTAAGGGTGCATCTTGCTGCTCGCTAGGCGCCCACACTAAGTGATCGATCCCCAACTCTCGGACTCGGTGGAGGAGGTCCCCTCGCAGAGACACAAGGGGCAAGACTAAGATCGTCACCCTAGCATTAGGGAGGATGCAGGGCAGTATAAACAGCAGGCTCTTCCCCTCGCTAGTAGCCATAATAACTACCACTTGCTTAGTCTATAACATAATAGTAGTCACAGCTCGTTCTTAGGCTACTAACCTCTATTGCAGCGTATTATCCTAGTATAGCTTTCTGGCGCTCTTTAGTAGAGCTATAGCTAACCACTTCTTCCGTGGCCGGTAGACCCCCATAGCGATCTTCTTAAGCATTTGCGGACCACCAATGTCTTTACTATCCCGCTTCCTCTTCTTAGCAGGTCTAAGCAGCTGGTTAAGCCCCTATAAGTCCTTCCACAGAGTTGAAGCACGTAGATTCCGGCGGATAAGGCTATCCCATACATTCCTAAAGTTAGCATTATATTGGTTTGTATATACTCGGTTAATAGTCCGCGTACTATGGTTCTACTGCTTGGTTATAACCCGAATGTTAGCCTCAATCTCTTCGGCATCCTCGTCGTTAGCCCCATCGTCAACCTCAAAGCACCCAACGTTAGCTACAAACTTAGTTTTAATGATATTAACTATTATCTGCCGCTAGTTGGCTATGTGTAGCCTGGGGATGCTAGCCCGACTACACGCCTGCTCTATACACCGCGTAAGCCGGTTGTTAGCCCAGACCTTCCCGTCTTACCACCATAAGTACGGAGAGATAATGGCATACGGGGCAGACTAGCGGAGGAAGACCTAGCGGAGCGGGATGATAACTACCAAGTAGTCGAGTAAGAGGTCTCCAACGGGTGCAGGTAAGAACCGGATATTATCCTTAAACTTGCCCGTCTGCTGCTAACCTTTGTGGTATGTAGTGTGTAGCATAACTAGCCCGTGCTTAAGGTAGACGTTTCGCCGCCGCTAGGTGTTACGCCAGGTGACGGAGAATAGTTCACTCTCGCACAGAGGCTAGCCAGAACCCATGTAGATTAAGACTAAGAGCCTTTTTAGGAACTCGTTAGCCACGGCCTTATACTACTCAATCGCCTTCCCTCGCCAGACCTTAGCACCATCCGCAGTAGCATCCAGGAACGAGTCCCGCAACAGCTTCGAGTCTTAGATAACGGTTAGTAAAGACCTCGCTAGCGGCTTTACTAGCTCAACGTTCTCCCGGTGCTAGCCAAAGAACTAGCCAAAGGCATCGGCGTCTAAGTTGTCCTTTAAAGCCCAAGTACGCATCCGCGGGAGGTTCTGGGCTCCGAACATTAGCTCGTCGTAGAGTAGGTGCTAGGCCTACTAGAAGTCGGAGAGTAAGAGCCGCGGCACGTGATCTATATGCAAATCAACATCCCGGTAGGTTAGGACCTTCTCGTCCACATCCCACTGTGCTTAGTGCGGCCCAACGACCTCCTTCGAGACAGTAAACAGCAGTAAGCGCCAGCCGAGGATCTCGCCCATAGGAGTCTTAGTGTCCTGCTTTAAGAACCGCCTGCAATACTGCTTAATGCGCTCGAGCGTATCACCTAGCTCCGCCTTCTCTAGATAGGCGCTAGCGTGGAAGATGATTAGCTATACAACCCAGATCACACTAGACAAGCAGCTATTGTAATTACCTGGTTCCTTCTAAGTCTTAGTATACGGCTTAACGCTAAGTATAGCACAGAAGCTAAGTAGTGGGGAGCTATACCGATTGCCTCTAAATTCGTGGCAGATTAGCGCTATTAAGAGGACGGACATAGTATCTCTTAGCGCAGGCCGGTCCTACTCGACAGCACTTTGGAAGGCCGCTTCCCACGCCTTCTCCTGGGCATCCGTGAGCTAGATGCAGCTCTCAGGGGTCCGCTGGTCGTCGTCGGCCGTGGTGAAGTGGCTGCCGCGGTAGACGACCCGGTAGCAGAACGTTAGGAACTGCTTCCAGTAGCCGAAGTTGGTCTTGAGCGTATTAGGCTCCTTCTTGGGGTCGAAGGCGCGTATCTTCTGCCCTGGGGCAGCGCTAGTATGGAAACGGCTCAACGCTAGCTGCTGTGGCTAGGTTAGTATATAGTCTGGGCCGTTGAAGCACTAGCTATATGCCTCTGAGAAGATTTCGTCTATAACCTCCAGCATTAAGAATAGCTCGGGCTCGCTCTCGGCATTCTTTGGCACCGTAAAAGAGGTGTGCATCTCGTCCTTCTTCAAGCCCCGCGTGTGCTCTTCGATGCCCGTTCGTCGAAGCCACGGCACCACAGCAGATTTATAGCTACCGAAGCCATGAACGACGTTGGCTTCTGCTTTGGTATCCTCCTCTGCAACCGCTACGTCCTCGCTAAGCTGTTTGAAGAAGTCTGCCTCCCTTAGATCTAAGCTCTTTGTGCCGGCGTCTGCGGCTCCTTTGGCGTTATCCGCCACGAAATACCGAATGTGCTGCTTTTCGGCGAAGAAGGTCTGTAGCTTGCACCTCCGCCAGAGGGGGCTCTTCTAATGTAATACAGGCTTCTGCTAGTGCGCCTTAGACACGTGTAGCTGGATGGTCTGGAGGCTCTGTGTGAGGCCCGCCGAGCACGTTAGGCACTGGAAGCCATCCTGGAGCCGTAGGCCAGCCACTACTTGGGTCGGTACGACTACCTGCTCCGGGACCAGCAGGCTGTAGGTTGCAAAGAGCTCGACGAGAGCCTTCAACGGTGCACCTCGCAGGCAGTGCGGCTTCTGCCTGAAGTGTCAAAGCTAGACGCTGCGTCCGGGGCGTAAATAGAACCCGCACTGGGTGCAGAGCAGCACCTACCACTCCGGCTTGTAGAGAAACCCGTCGCTCATAGTCCGTCCGTAGGCCGCCCTACCCTAAGCCGTCGCGGAAGACGACGAGGCTAAAAACAGAGGTCATCGACCGGCGCTGGGCAGCACATATTATGGTGAACTTATCATAGTAGACTAGTCCGTGCATCCCCCCCTGATCCAGGGTCATTTCGCTTCGGGAGCCGCATAGTTCGCCATAATAAGTCGAATTTCTAGAGGTAGATTAGATAAAATCGAAATATAATCGGTTTATTTATTTATAAATTTAGAATATAATATTTATATTATATAAAAGTAGCCTAGTTTGGACTAGTTTCTATTTTTATATTTATAATTAAAAGTCTT